CTAACGATTATAAGACACGATACGTTTGGAAAACCTAACATGGACAGAATTGAAATCAGAATAGTTTATCCTATAAATTGTTCACTCTGCAGTGAGCCTGTGTCCTCATTCTATATTAATACTACTTTAATCTTTTAAGTATAATGGGCAATTTTTTTAGTACCACTTTAATCTTTTAAATGATGGGCAATTTTTTTAGTACTACTTTAATTTTTTAAATAATGGGCAATTTTTTTAGTACTACTTTAATCTTTTAAATAATGAGCAGTTTTTTTAGTACTACTTTAATCTTTTAAATAATGGGCAATTTTTTTAGTGTAGTTTCAGTGACAGTGTTGTGAGTGCTTTCAGCCTGGCGTCGGGCAATTGGATAACCTACTGCTGGTACGTATACAACAATTTTTTTCTTTCTTTTGATAAGCAGTATAATGTTCCTCTCTAATATTTAGTGATGTTTTAAATGATATCTCTACAAAAAACGTAACTTCTGATATATTTTCTTTAAAGAAAAATATCCCTCTGAACCCAATTAAATTGATAGGTATTCATTTATGTAACCCTCACTGGAAAAAAAACACATTGGATCTAGAGTCCAGACTCTTAAAAAAATCGACAGGAAAAAGTACTCTTGATTCAATCAGAATCTAGCTTAAATCAAGAACCAAGCATCTTAATTTAAGCGGATTTCGTTTTGATTCAAGCAAAAATCCGATTGAATCAAGAGTATTTTTTCTTGTCAATATTTTCAAGAGTCTGGACTCTAGATCCAATGTGTTTTTTTCCAGTGCTTGTCTCGTCTTGTAAGGAAAAAGGGAACATTTCCCCCGAAAATTTCGCAAAAGGTGAATACATTTTCAAAAACACGCTGGCAGTGCAGAACTCTCTTTACTTCTAAGAAGATTTATATATTTTTTTTTTTAAGATTTTTTAGTATAGAATGATATTTTTAATCTCCTGAAATGTAATGATCATTTATTTACTTTATTTTAATTCTAACAATGTTAATTTTCATGATATTACAAATTGTTTTTCTTGCGGTAAAGGGGGGGGGGTGGCAGTCATGGGGCCCAGACTTTAAAGCTGGTACCAGGGCCCGAGATGAGATGTGGCGGGCCTGCGGAAAATACGCGATTTGGATAGCAGGAGTATAATATGTGAAAACTTCAGTAATTTGAGACAGGCATGAAACTGAGAGTTCCCTTCAATTCCGTGCTGTACCACACACCGACTCCGGAGTGTAAAAAGTTGCGCGCTTGATTTCCTCATTTAACGAAGCGAGCATAACACCACCCGACACTCATCATTTGTGCAGCGGTTTCGTGAAAAGTGAGAGATTATGCGATTTTCATCTTGACATCGCCAGTAGTATACGATTTTTCCACCTGATTCATGTAATTTTAAGGAAACACGCGGTTTTCATCTCAGTATCGCGGGAAATAGCCATTTTTTCAGCTACACTGGAAAAAAAACACATTGGATCTAGAGTCCAGACTCTTAAAAACATCGACAAGAAAAAGTACTCTCGATTCAATCAGAATCTAGCTTAAATCAAGAACCAAGCCTCTTAATTTAAGCAGATTTCGTTTTGATTCAAGCAAAAATCCGATTGAATCAAGAGTATTTTTTCTTGTCGATGTTTTCAAGAGTCTGGACTCTAGATCCAATGTGTTTTTTTCCCTGTGTATTTTGTATAGAATGCGGGTGGTCAAAAGTCTGTAAAATCGGGCAGTGTCGGGGAATTGGTAAAGACGGGGAGAAATTGTGATCTTAATCTACCGCCGAGAGCTTTGTCTATATGCCGCGTTATAAAAGTGAATAATGAGTAAATCTTAACGATGCTACTAAGTCATCAGGGAAATCGCGTCTTAATCGCGATGTTGCATTGATTAATGCGTTATCTCTCACTTTTTCTACAACATATCGCCGGAAAAATGGCCCATTTCGCGATATCAATATGCAAGGCGCGTAACTTCCTTTGGGTTCATAGAATTTGCTGGACATGTCGCGGAAATATCGCGAGATAAAGTCGTAAAACGCGCGATTTCTCATTTTGTAACGCGCGGAATTCCAAAATGCAACTATTCGAACTCCGGAGTAGGTATGTGGTATCATGAGAAATTGAAGGAGAATCTTAGCTTTTCTCCTATTTGAATTCACGGCGTTAATAAAAATTATGCTCGCATTGATACGAAATTTGCGTATTTCAGCGATTGAGATAAATATTTTGTGATCATTCATAGTCTCCATCAACCGTTGTAAATTTGTGCCCCCGACACGATATCGAGGTGAATAACCCATGATTCTAATCATTTAAAAAACCGCTGGAACAATCTCTTATTTGCCGCGATACTGCAGTGATCATCGCGTAATTTCTAATTTTTTCATTAAAATACTAGAAAAAACCGCATTTTGCCCGATACCGAGAGATGATAAGCGCATAATATTCCAGACTTGTACGAATCCGGTACAAATATCTCGTGCTTCTTGCGATATACCGAGATGAAATTCACGAAATCTCTCACTTTTTAACGCGCGCAATTTAGGGGAGCAACTATTCGACCTCCGGAGTAGGTATGTGGTATCTTGGAAAATTGAAGGAGAATCATAGCTTTTTTCCTATCTGAATTTACTTCGTTCATAAAAATTTTGCCGGCATAATTTTAAATTCAGGTATTTTGTGCGATTGATATGATTTTTCTACCATCATTAGTGGTATTCATCAACCGTTGTGGAATATGAGTATCCGCGACGACATCCGAGGCGAATGACGCATGATTTTAATCAATTTAAAAAATCGCTGAATTACTCGCGTTTTTGCCGCGATATTGTGGTGATTATCGCGTATTTCTCTTTCTTTCTTTGATACCGCAACTTCTGAAAAGCAGCGCATTTCTCGCGATACCGAGATGAAAATCGCGCGATTTCTCACGCTTTTATATGCGGAAATGAAGCGAACCAATATTCGAATGCCGGAGTAGGTATGTGGTATGGTATCACGCATAAATGAAGGATAGCTTTTTATCTACATATCAAATCATATGAATGAAGCCATCATGCTTGCATCGGCGCATCGGTAAATGCGGAAATCAAGCGCGCAACTATTCGATCTCCGAAGTAGGCATGTGATGTGGTATCCCGCGGAAATGAAGGAAAATCTTAGCTTTTCGCCTCTTAAAGTACTGACGTGTATTGAATTGATAGTACGCTCGTATCGTTATCAATTGCATTTTTCTGAGATTTTGACGAGATCATTATTTAATTTTTACACCTTTTCAATATCCATAAAATAGTTTGTGTTTGCCGCGATATTTACGTGGAAATTACGTTGTAATTTTTCTTTTTTTAAACACAACTGCTAAAAAAATCGCGTTTTCTCCTCAATAATCGTCCGCGTTTACTCGTTGAAGTGATGAAACAGTTTTTCGGCAATATCTGCAGCCCGAACAAACCGGAAAAATTGATTCTTCTTTGTCTCTTATCATTGAATTAAATTGAACGAAGTCACTACAACTACTAGTATTAGAACTATGTGTAGTAGTAAATGCTATACTTCTAGGGCTTTCAGGGGTGCAAAAACTTTTCGACCGCGCGACCGAGTGGATCGCGATCGGTTGCTTGTGAAAATGGAAAGGCTCTGAAAACACCATTGGAAAGCCTGTATTATCTCGAGTTTTTTTAAATATTACTGCGGTAAAAAGCACGTGTTTTTCGCAAAATCGCGGAAATTCATACGTGTAGAGCCATAGGAAAGTCATTTTTGTGAAATTTTGAGGGAGGAGGAGTTTCTATAAAGGGAAGACAAATTTTAAAAATGGGAAGGCTAAAAACGTTTTGCATCCCTTGCTTAGCGCAATTAATCGATTCCAGAATGCAGTAATGGTGTCCTCCTAAATTCAACGAAGAAGCATCGGTTTCTTGTGATTTTGAATCTAATTTTCCTCAGAGTTGTGGTTTATTTCCAGCAAGCAGTCTGTAGCTCTTTTTACTTCTTATCGTCCCTGCACAAAACTTTACTTTTGAAAACATATTCCGTGCCTTGATTTAGCTAATAATCTTTTCTTTTGCTTCCTTTTTCAGAATCGTCTGCATTGAGCTGCGCACTGCTGATCTGATCGGTATGTAATTTTATTATATTTGTAGCTTTCTGAATAGATTAAACTCGCACTGGTTAATAGTGCCGAAGTAAGGTGCTTTCCATTGGATTGGAAAGAAACTTTAACAGCACACAATGGAGCGAGTCAAATAGGAGAGGTCGGACAGAATTTTGAAATTTTAAATGCTTTCAACGCCGTTTATACTAAACATCGAGGTTCTAAAATTGTTTCCATTGGTTTCCTCGTGAAATTTTTCTCCTAGAAGCACCCCTTAATGCCTAAAACGTCACGAAGTACACTTCAAAATTAGCATTTTTAGTCAAAAATTTCATGTCCGACCTCTCTGATTGACTCGATCCACTGTTCGGAGAGAGCAAAAATCGTCGCTCCTCTGACGTAAGGGCGTATCACGATTTCCGCTTGAGCCTCAGAACGCATGGACTTATACGTAGAACAGGACTCACGTGAAAATTGAGATACGCTCTTACGTCAGAGAGACAGCGAAATGACGAAAATAAGTGGTGGAAAGATGCCTTTTTTTTGTTTTTTATTAGTTCAATTCAACGGTTGTAAACTCAAAAGAATCAAGCGAACGGAATGGAGGCCAGGTTGCAAACTCGCCCACCTCAGAGGCGAGGCGGGATAATCAATTATCGATATTATCCCATGAAGCCACGGTAAAGAATCGATTATCATGGTGTTCCTTGCAAACACCCAACTGCTTGAGATTTATCGACCCTTTTCCATAGGTTTAAATGGCAGATCAATCGATTAATCGCAAAGCACGCTACGCCACTGATTCAGGCGGTGCTCCTTTTCCTCAGCACACGAGTTTCGCTCGTCTAGAGGTGAAGATGAAAATTATGTATAGGGTATCGGAAACTTAAACATTTTTCCTGGGTGATGCTTGAGCCAATGCAAATTTTTTAATATATCTTTCTCATTTATTCTTTCTCATGGTAATACAAAAGCGCGTCAACTTTGATTTCTGGATGACTGAAATCGGGAATAAAATCAACAATTTGATGTCTCCAAGCGAAAGCGACGACTGTTAAATTCCTCTTGTACACCTTAAGTGTCCTCACGTAAGGATAGTACCATCCCTGCCAGGTTCCCATTCTTTGGCCACTTTTCGTGAATGCTTTTCCCGGGATCACTATGATGTCAAGACCACCTAAAAATTACAAATATGTTTCAAAAAAGAAGAAGGAAAATAGGTCTCCTAGGCACTTTATTTCCGTAATTATAGTATGGATTTTGAAGGATTGTAGTGGAGCTTTTGCATGTGCTAGGAGTTTACGGTTTAAGTACTGATCTATGTAAAATTTTGCAAGAAACGCGACGGTTCCACTGGTTTTCTTTTAAGTTAACTCCACCTTGTTTGGAGATTCCAAAACCGAAAACACTGCTAATGTATTAGATCCCCCTTTCTTTGCATAGAGAGGTTTTTTCTTGAAATCAAGGTGGACTTTCAGGCTAGCGTGGGATAGGTGGCATCCATAACTCCCTTGCCGCCGCGATTTCTTTCTCGACTATGCAACCCTTCTGCCGCGATTGCNTTGAAATAAAGGTAAACTTCCAGGAAAGCGTGGGATATTCCCTCCATTACAGCCTCAACTTCAAGAGTTTTTTTGAGCTTTGGAGTTGATTTCATAGAAAATCAGTGAACCATCATGTTTCTCGCTTTTACGTACGAAATAGTACTGAAATCGTATATCCCTCACGCATGCAAGAGCATCATTTTGTTACTAACAGTAAAACGCAGCTGCAATTGGACGTATTTCTACCAAACAGACCTATGTGCAAGTGAGAAATGTGGGGTGTGCTCGTTAATTCTCTGGCCGTAAGAGTGAATGAGAATAATAAAGCGCCAGTGACGTCAGCGGCGATGATGGAGCACGAGCGCCGAGGGGAAGAACGTCGTCGGGGCGCTGTAACTCATGAGCCCTGTCCACAACGGCTCTCGTGCCGTGCCCGCGGCTCATGAATCCCGCATTCCGTTGACACATAGGTCTGTTTGATAGAATGTAATATCCCGCTTTTCCAATTCTTCAAAAGGAATCGCGCCCACTTTTACATTGCTTCTTATGCAGATTTCTAGAGCACACCCCATATTTCTCACCTGCACATAGGCCCGTTAGATAGAAATACGTCCAATTATCCACGAGTAAATCGAAAATTACATTGTCTAAACCACTCCATGAAATGGAAAAACCTTTCGGAAATCGTAGGGCATGGTGCTTTGATTATGCAATCCCAAAGATCTGAGAGTTTAAAGCGGGTAATTAAGCGAATTCAAACTATGATACCAACCTGTTTCAATGGCCTCCTGTTGATCCATAGTTCTATTTGGTTGCCTGAATCCATATCTGTTCAGCGGTGGATCCAAATCTGATAAACCTCTAGTTGACACAAGTTCCGAGTCTCTCTCTGTAGTGACCCTATAAAAATAAATTCAACATACTCACACACTATGAGATGCATGAGATACTGTACGTATATATAGAAATAAGTTGATACACTTACATAGGCCCGTCACCCGTTACATACACTTACGTCCATAAAATCATTTCATACAAAGTAAACCGCTGTGGCTTTGTAAGCCTGAATTCTGCAAGCGTAGTGCGCTAGATTTACTACTTCTGTAATATTTAGTAGCCACTCTTAATTCGTATATAGTTCTAAAAACATTCTGTCCTTGATTGATATCCGGAGCATATGTGAGCTAAGGGTAAATCATCCAAAATTTACATCTTGCTTACCGAGGAATGAATACGTGTTTTCCATCCTTCAACATTTCCTTGAAAATCTCGATCGTGTCCGGCTGCTCTGGTCTGCTTAAATAAATTCCTATTCTGTCTGCTGCTGGATACTGTGGTAGTTCAAAGAACTGAAAACCCCCCAATTAATATAATGTAGAGTGCAATACTTTTTAAACAGCGAAAATTTTTAAGGTATTTTCATAGTATCAGGTCAGGCCGTGGTTCAATTGGATTACATTTTTCCATTAAGATCTAATATCTCTCTATCATTTTTAGACAACATATCGACGGCTTAGGTCCGCAACCACGTATCTCGTTTACGGTTTTTGAAAAACTCCGCCTCTATATTATTTTTTAAATGAGAACAAATTGAGATCATTCCTTGAAGTTTTTGCTGAATTTTCCTCGCCAAAGAAGAAAAATCACGGCAAATTTTAAGAATTGCCATTGAGTAGTTTTCCGTTAAAAATTGTAAGTATAACAGGAAGTCTCCGACGTCGCAAACCGAAACACATGGTGGCGGACTTACACCTTCGATGTAAGAGGACTTATATGTAACAATAGCGGATGTGAAAAATTACCTTTTCGAAACACATTCAAAAAACTGTTTTGGCATCGAGAAAATTTTGAGAAAATACTTGAGACGTGATCTTCGAGATCTGTACATTATGCCAGAGCCAAACATATTAAATTTTTGCGTGAACAAAATAGTTTTAAGCGTGTTTCGAAAAGGTGATTTTTCACATCCGCCATTGTTACATATAAGGCCTCATATACTATTAGTTTTTCCATACCGCTCGGAGCTTCTATAGATAAAGCAAAAGTAAGTCTGTATTGTAAAATGTAGTCCGTATAGTCGATTCTCGCACGAAGGACCATAACACCATTCCAAGGTTGCAAAATGAACTGAAACATGTGACTTTCTCACAAGAATATACCTAATCGTGTATAATTCGTGTCCAAAATTTTGCTAATTTTGTTGTGTAGTTCGAAGAGAAATCAATGAATTTTTCAGTCAGAAACGTTCAATAGTTACCTAGTTAAAATTCAATTTGCGATTGAAAACTATGTTGAATATTTCGTAGTATCTTTGTGAGCAAGGGTTCGATGGAATGACTCCTCAATAACGAAATTTCCCATTGTGCCGTGGTATCGTTTTTGAAGCGGGAATTTCGAAAAACGCAAATTTCTTATGCAAATTGTGAAACAAGAAGTGCATTTCAGACTTTGCCGATACGCTCATCGTAATTTTTGAGACACTTTCTTTGAGTTACAACTCTTATTCTTGCTCTAGTAAAAGTTTGCAACATGCCCATTGTGCGTCTTTATATTCGTAAATTACATCTCAATGCAGGAGTTGTTAATATTATTCACGTTGAATCTCTGCTTTTTGTTATTGGTACCCTCACTTTTCTGTATCGCAGTCTATAGAGTAGGTAAATGATGTATGCAAATTTTTCAACACATACGCACAGGTCACTTTCTAGGCTAAACACACTTAATTTGCGATGAAATTGCAATCAGTTAATAAACCGAAACTGCCGCCGATGGTGATACTGTGCAGATTTAGTGTGAGTACTGTCATTAGTGGTAGTAGCAGTAGCTACTTAGGATAAGTGATGTTCTATGCGTGTGAGGTCTCATCTGTTGGAGGAGTAAACCGAACACCCGACGTCCAAAGCTTCTAAGTTCTCATGAGCTCGGGACTCTTTTCCTTTTTTGGGAAATTAAATCGCTTATATGAAACTCTTACTGTGAGAGGTCGATCAATATTTGTCAACTATTTCATTCGGACTTACGGCGTGTGTTATTCTTGACTAACCTGTTTCCATATAGATTGATTTTCAAAGAACTTTTCCAAACTTTACTCATTTTTTCTAACTTGCAATCCAGCTCTGCCATAATTCTCAACCTTTCCGTTGATATCCTACCAGACTGGGCTGAAAATAAAACTCACATGAATACAGTCGCTCCCGGTTTCCTAGGTATTTTTGTCAAATTTTTGTGAGGAGTAGTGCAGGGTTGCCCTAGTCAGGGAATACCGGGAAAACCGGGAAAACCGGGAAAACCAGGAAAACCAGGAAATGCCAGATAATTTTAAAAAGTAAGGGAAAATCTAGAAATGCAAGGGGAAATGATGAAAATGTCATGAAAAAATTATCAAGTCACCTTTATGTCCTTTCGGCAGTGGGTTTGATGTTTTGAACAACCAATTTTGTCCAAAAACTATTTTGAATCATGTCTTTTTAAGCATCTGGCATATCCACAATTGTCAGGTAATTTCACCAAAATGTGCCAGAGAAATCAGGGATATGTCAGGAATTTCATTTTTTAAATTCTATGGCAACCCTGGAGTGATGGATCCAGCTAGATATGGGATGGGCAGACGAAGGACAAACTCTGAAGTTTGAAAATAATCACTGCATTTTTAACCCTATCTTCCTTCCACCTCACTAAAACGTCACTTAAACTAAGTTTTAGTGTATTTTCCGAAGAAAATACTCTCTTTTAGTAACTTGATTGTGGAGGAAAATGGTTGCGAATTTCGGTCCCTTTCATTTACACCTGCCAATAATTGCAAATATTGTATCAAAATGGCTAGTAAAAATTAAGACTTTCGTAGAATTCGGCACAATTTCAGGCCTAAAATTCATGCTTCATATGCAAAAGAACTTTGAGTGTGATACCTAGAGAGAGTATTTTTAGTTCGATAAGCGATGAAATATGCGTAGATATCCCCAACTTTTTAACAAAGAATGAATACATCTGTTGGCTTCCATAATTTCTTCGTCGTGTATCCATTCTTGCGTCACCTAAAATTGAAGGAGAATAAAACGCCAAAAATGCACAGAACCTAGGAAGGTTTAGAGCGAATTTGAAGTATTCTTCATTCACGGTTGATGTTTGATTTTATCATAAAATCTCGGAAAAAGAGTTTTAGGGGTTATCCCCTAAAATCGTGGTACTACCACATTTTGTTGGATGATTTGGGCATTTCCCATTAATTGTGGTAGTACTGCAGCTCAAGTTTGAATTTCCAGTCTGTTATATTTTGGAAAACATGCTGGACCTGAATTGTAACATAAAAATGATTTACACGATTACAATGATTTTTTTTCTGATAATACAGATCGGCCAAACTTTACGTCTTTGCCATCCCAACATCTTGAAATTGTATCTGCCGATAACGTGCGTATAATTTCAAATTGAACGAACAAGTTCACCATGCTGATGGCTAGATGAATAACTAGGCGGCCGATTTCTCTTCTTTCAATGTTTATGACACAGTATGACTGGTTCTCTCTCGTGGCTCGCGGTAACTCATGAATTTTAGCAACTTGGATTTCATTACTGAAATGTTTATTTGTTCCGGAAATGTATGCAGGTTTTTGCCTAGAATATGCTTAGATCCGAAGTGGAAATAGAAATAAATTAGACTAGCATGCGAAATAAAATAAATCAACGAACCCTCCAAAACGGCGTGTATGGAAATGATCAAAATAGTCAGCACCTTCATGGTCTCAATTATTTAAAACGGAGGCGCAGAATGTTATTCTTAAGTATATCCGTCACCAGCTTTTTCACAGTTCAAAACTCGTTACAATTTTCCATTTCTGATTGTTCATGTACCCAGTTGCAATATCTCATTTAATCAAATCTACAAAGAACCTGTAGACAATTTTTTTAAACGAAAGATTTGAACTACGTTAGGTCCATAGAACTTAAAAGTATTTTCACCTTCGCTTATGCTGCAATTTTTCAGTACGAAACTGATTGTAAACGCAGTGAAGGAAGTATGATCGCTAAAGAAATGAAACGGAACTTTATCGACCGCGTTAAAGACGATGTTAGCAATCTCAACACATTTTTAGAAAAAAAAACCAAAAAAACTATTTTCTCACTTCAACTGGACTACTTTTTGCAATTTGGAACTATAAATTCCAGCCCGGGTTAAAAACAACCTATGTGCCATTAGTTTCCCTATGCACATAGGTGTTTTTCCAGAAGAGCCAGAATGTATAGTTCCAAATTGCAAAATGTTGTCCAACTGAGCCTCAAGCTGTACTTCACTCAGAAACAGATAGACAATTCACGTCACACCCCCACGTATGTCTTCTCTCGATCGCCCACTCAGAATTTATGATTTGCACCGCACTAAGGATTACTATTTCTGGCTTACCCCTCAAAACAATAATTTGCGAAGGGAACTCATCACGGCACTCACGTCGTTTTTGAAATATACCTAAAACAGGAGGCACTTTTGCCCGTAAAAATTATATATCAAATTGGTGAGGCGGAGTCAAATGTGACAACCGGGAACCGAACTAACTGAAGTCACCGACATGTGATTATATCGATAGATAAACTAATGATCAAACACAGGACGATCGAATGAAGAGTTAAGACAGAATTTTGAAAGAGTGAGAAGTATAAATGAGTGAAAAGAAGAAGTGAATAAGTGTGCCAAACCCGAATAATGACGATCATATTTCGTAGTAGTGCTTTTCAAAAACCATACTTATTTATGTAAATTAATAAAAATATTGTTAACAGCAAAACAATTAATTTAAAATATTTTTGAAACTCATAAAAATTAGGATATTCCCTCTCAGTATTATAAGTGGAGGGTGTATCACAGGGTTTCCAGAGGTCTAAAAAACTAGGGGAGAAGTCCGAGAAAGCCAGGGAAAGTTATGGAAGTTACTGCCACCGGGAAAATGGTATTCATATAGGAAAAGTCGGGGAATTTCTCGAGCAGCGTTTAGCCGAAGACAGCACAATTGAAAGGAGAAAATCTATTGGAAAAATTCGAAGGTCAGGGAAAGTCAGGGCGGGCAATATTTTGGAGTCTGAGAAATGCAGAAGAAAGTCAGGGAATCTTAAAAGATTAAAACATTATGGAAACCCTGGTATTAATTTTAGTTAAATATTCTTATGAAACGTGAATGAAAAACTATCAAGTTTCATGTGTGAATTATCTTCTATATTTTTGAACACATATTTTTAACATTATAAAGGCACAACGATAGTCGCATTCATTCTCTAAATATAACGAACTCTTCAAACAATGTGGAATGTGGAAATTGGAATGGCAAACCTAAAAATTAACAACGACAGCAATTTTGACTCCTTGAAATAATTTCATTTCATTCCTCTTTTTAGTTACAAACACGCATGGCTCCTATTTGACTCCTTTGCCACTTCTTTTAAGATGTTTTCATGCGTAGACTGAGGAATAATTGATGAACAAATATCATGGACTGATGACAATATCTGCATCAATATCATTTTCGGTGACAGGAATATTAGGGACAATTTGTCGCCTAAAAGCAATTCCAACCAGAACTGGCGGGCGAACATTCCGTGCTTTCAAGATATATCGGTCGTAGTATCCTTTGCCTTTGCCTAACCTTTTGCCTGTTGCCGTGGAAGCTAGACCAGGTAGAATCATCAGGTCAAGACCTCCTGAAAATAAGATGATTCGATTAAATCAACTGAAAAGCGCACTGGATTAGTTTGAGAGGAAGGGACATACATATACTGCCGTGCTAAGGTTGAACGCCGTGTGAGTCCTCAGGCGTCGCCTACTCTCCTTTTACAAATCACAAATTTGCAGGAAAATTTGTAAATGTTTTTCTTCCGAATTTTTAGAGGATATTGTTCGTGATTTGAGCTTACGTGACCGAATATTTCAAAGATAAATATTGATAAAGTTTTTCAAGGAAAGCTAAAGAAAATATTTTCTGAGAGGCAATTTGGCAACATTTGAATGCTCATGCGGCGTTTTTCTTCGCACGACAGAACACGAGGAGGAAGAGTTGAATTATTCCGTGATTTTATTAGATCTGTTTTTAATTTGAAGAAAATACCTCTTCACTGATCCAAGTCAAAGCTTAGTCAGCTAGCGAAGACACTGCAAAGAGCGTACTGGAAAAAAACTCATTGGGTCTAGAGTCCAGATTCTTGAAAACATTGACAAGAAAAAGGACTCTTGATTCAATCAGATTTAAGCTTAAATCAAAAGGAAATCCGCTCAAATTAAGAGGCTTGGTTCTTGATTTAAGCTTAAATCTGATTGAATCAAGAGTATTTTTTCTTGTCGATGTTTCTAAGAGTCTGGACTCTAGATCCAATGTGTTTTTTTTTCCAGTGCGTTTTTTTTCGAACGATTATGCTGCCGTGCTGAGAAAAAACGCCGTATGGATAATCGAGAGTTGCCAAATTTTCTTCGATAAAACGTGTATTTTTGAAGAAAGCTTTGGACATTTTTCCTTGGAATTTTTAGGAAATTTAGTTGAAATTGCGAACAAAATTATCTGAATAATTAGAGGAAAAACGTTTACAAATTTTCCCGAAAATCCGTGATTTATAAAAGGAAATTTGGCAACGAATGAAGGCTACGGCGTTTTTCCTTAGCACGGCAGAATAATAAGACATGAGGCACGAACATGACGGACGACGACGTTGTATACACGTAATAAATAACGCGTAGTCCATTGTTTGTGTCGCATGTTGCATGCGGAGGAATTGAAGGCGTTTTAAACACCGTTCGACTAGAGTCGATCGCATACAGCCAATCTCCTAGGGACCTTCCGCGCAGGTCCCAGCCCTAAAAAAAAAAAAATAAATAAAAACTTAGCTCATCGTTTGCTTATTTTGAGTGGTTCTTCTGCCTGTGCCTGTGCCTGTGCAAGCTTGGTCGGCGGCGACTGAGAAAAACTGCCCGCGGACGCGGGAAACTTGAAAAAGCGTGTTACAAACTACACGCTGATTTCAGACTTTTTTGATGTGCCCAACGTGATTTTCGAGTAGCTTTACTCTTAAGCGTCCAGCCTACTTACACTGGGAAAAAAAAACACATTGGATTTAGAGTCCAGACTCTTAAAAACATCGACAAGAAAAAGTCCTCTTGATTCAATCAGAATCTAGCTTAAATCAAGAACCAAGCGTCTTGATTTAAGCGGGTTTCGTTCTGATTCAAGCAAAAATCCGATGGAATCAAGAGTATTTTTTCTTGACAATATTTTCAAGATTCTGGACTCTAGATCCAATGTGTTTTTTTCCAGTGTACAAACTAGAGGCTTCGAAGAGGTTCATCCATGCCATTCCTGGCCCTCTCATTGCCAACGGTTTAAGTCGGGGCAATCGATGAGTCTCTTTGAAGCCTCTAGTTTGTAAGTGGGCTGGACGCTTTATAAAGAGTATTCAGTTGGCTGTATCTCTTGCGTGCAAGCGTGCAAGCGACCCACTCTGAAATTAAGCACGGAATTACTGTTACAGCGGCTTTGGCATGTGATGTGGTATCACGCCGCTCTGAAGGAAACTCCTCCTTTCGGACTCCGCGGAGTAGGTACGTGATGTGGTATCACGCGGAAATGAGGGGAAATATTGGCGTTCCACTTGTGTTGTAAAAACACCGTGTTCATTCTGTTAAAGTTTTCATCGTGGAAACCTCAAAACCAGTCCGAATAGAGTTGAAATTTCAAATATTTTCCAGATGTGTTGAATGCGACGGTTCGGAAGTACCGTATGCTAAAAGTAAAAAAATCAACGTAATTTTTCCGCATATATTCTGCGTCACGGTAGCCCCGAAACCCGTTCCAATAGATTTAATACTTCAAAAAATTTCCGAGAGAGACCTTACGGTAGTAAGGGGGCCCTCGCCCCCTCCCCGCTCCAAGCAAAATGACGCTGGTACGCATCTGAAATCTGGCATCAGTGTGAGGTGTGATCATGTGGCAGTGAAGGTGCGAATCCTCACAACCCTCCGTTCACCTCTATGGAAGGGGAGGCCTGAATCGAAATTTCGCCACTTTTGATCGTCTAACATGCTCTTCACTACTGTATCACCCAAAAAGAATCACATCTGATAGAGTACAAATCTAATAGGAGATAGAATAACGTCCTTTTAATGGACGGAGTTAACATCAAAATATTCGAGATTTCAGTCTAGGTATGTCCAACTTTTCCCAATGGCTCGTTCGAGTAAGCGAGTTCTTCCTAATCGCGTTGGTCGTAAGATTCCCGCAAATTCGGCCAGAGGAAACATAGCACCATTTCAGGGCTATCGCCCGGTGAGCAGGCGGGTGTGTCTATTGGTCCGGATTTTTTAAGGGCGTTCCGGAAGTACTGAAGAAGTGTGGAAATTCCGCAATAGGTCCGGAACTTTTCCCTTCATGCCACGCGCGTGTTTTTTAATGAAGCTTGGAAAGTATGCAATACCCTGTGCGTTGATTCTTAGAGTAGTATCTGCCTGCAAGATTTTAGACTGCGGAGTTCCTCAAGCCATCACTGACCAAAAACTCCGGCCGTGGAAGCCGTGCTTACGGGCTATGTAGACATACCGTTCGCGTTCCGGGCTTTGAGACTGAAAGTTCCAGAGTTAGCACCTTGAGCTGTTGAAGCTACGGCCCCAGCACCCGAAACTTTCGGTCTATAATAAGCCCAGAACGCGGACGGTATGTCCACATATCCCGCAATTTTTTCCCAGTGTGCATTAACGAAGTTTTATGTATCATTTTGGCGCAATTCGAGCGAGAATTTCGTCAAATGGAGGTGCCAACTGAAAAAATTCTGAATACTTTTCAGGAGGTACTGGATTTCTTGGGAATGCACTGGAAGTACAGTTACTGCTTTTGACCAGCCTGTTTACTTAAACACCCTGTAGGCGAGCAACTATTTAAACTCCGGAGTAGGTATGCGGTATCAGCCG